CAATTCCAAACTCACTTGGCTTTTGTTTCACTCCAAACACCTCTGTTCTCATACAAACCCCACCCTGGTGAGTTTGTGGCAGGAATCTTAGATATCTTGTTAACACTCCATAAACAACATGCTTCACCTCAGAGTACCTGTCATTATTTCCTCTCAGAGCCTAGAAAACAAAACAAAGAAAATATCTCATAAGTGACATAGGTTGGTCATGAATGGTGAGTTTTGATCCATTGGCAATGTTACATCATTCTGTCCAGTTGGTTTGTCATTCATCATGCAAAGCCGAGACGATTAGGACTCTACCACAATGAGCGTGACTAGTGTGCAGACAGACAGCTCATCAGAAGAGAATTTCAAATAGCCCTGACGGTGATAACACTGCAACCCCTACACATCTACTAGTACTATAACCCTTCAATATATATCCACGTCACCTACAAACCCATCACTGCACCATGTCCGATACAAATGATTGTCAAAGACATGGATGAACTGAAGAACATAAAGGGAGTGGTTTATAAGAACAAGTGCTTTGACTCCCAAGCCTCCTAGACCAGAGAAACAGGTAGAAAGCTCAGAACAAGACTGAATGAGCACAAGCAAGCCACTATATAGAAAAGGTGACCCAACAATCACATTACTGAACCTACTGCGCAAGCTATTTTCCACAAATGACTCTGGAATTAGCTGGTTTACCAGAACCTAGAATAGACTCCCTTCTGCGGGTGTCAACTACTACCAGTCGGCACCATACAAACAACTCACCCATCACGATTTCACAAGAAACAAACCAAAGAGAGCATATGTTAACTACTCGGTCCTGTAAAAATAAGGTTCTTTATTTTCGCACACACTAATTCAAGTAATAATAAATGTAGAGTCAAAATTCACGTGTTTTATACCTTCGGGCATTTTGCGTATAATTACGGTCACATTACAATATACACTAATTAGCAACGATTCTTTTGTGATAAATCTAAATGGCGGCGTGAATTGCTGATTATGCAACACTTAATATTACTGATATCCATCACAACTAACATTCTCAACTTGAGTCTAATAGAAAATAACAATGTGGCTAAACTGACCAACCAGTCTACACAAAACAGTGTAACCACTGAATCGATCGGTAAATTTTAGAGTCTTTAATCCAGGTTCATCGAGATAAATGGCATACAATTTATGTTTCTGAAAGTAGAATTAGACAATCCAAACTTGCAAACGCGAAGCAAAATAAAGCAAAATGAAAGTATACAAAGCTCAAATAAATCGAAATGTCGAACAATTACAGACAATCTGAGGGTTCCTTCTCAAAATAACTGAGAAATGTTCGTTGAAATCGATACGATGAAAACGATTCACATTCACAATCTTCAGAACAAAATCATCAAACACATGGCCAAACAAGACCATTTGCTCGGCCTGATAACAACTAAGAGTTGGGTCACGTTAAAATCATGAAATGTCCGTTCGGAACCTACAAACAGAATTATCACACTTGACTGACAACAACTCTTCACTTGACTCTGTTGATGACTTCTTCCTAGCTTGACTTGAAATGTCAGTCATTACTACGGCATGACAACAGCATTTCTCAGGGCTCCTAAGTTAAAAACAGTCTTTTAAGGCTCATTTTTGAGTAAGATTTTTTTAATTGGAGGCAAGCAATACTCATTTTTATACGTAGATTGATGGAAATTTTGCTTGTCAAAGATAGAAGGTCTTCATCTGGAGTGTAAGTACATTTTTAACAATGGATGGAAACAATGTCTCGGTTCCACCTAAAAAANTGAGTTAAACTCTTGTCAAAGATCAATGGAGCATCTTAAATTGGCCAAAAACAAGTCGTAGCTAAAACAACAATCACGAAACATCCAATTCCAAACTCACTTGGCTTTTGTTTCACTCCAAACACCTCTGTTCTCATACAAACCCCACCCTGGTGAGTTTGTGGCAGGAATCTTAGATATCTTGTTAACACTCCATAAACAACATGCTTCACCTCAGAGTACCTCTCATTATTTCCTCTCAGAGCCTAGAAAACAAAACAAAGAAAATATCTCATAAGTGACATTAAGGTTGGTCATGATTGGTGAGTTTTGATCCATTGGCAATGTTACGTCATTCTGTCCAGTTGGTTTGTCATTCATCATGCAAAGCCAAGATGATTAGGACTCTACCACAATGAGTGTGACTAGTGTGCAACATGACAGACAGCTCATCTGAAGAGAATTTCAAATAGCCCTGACCGTGTTTTTTATGAAAAAAACAATACCCAGTGACAACTTAATTTGACAAAATGCTCACCAACCTTAACCTACTCACTGAAATAACACTGCAACCCCTACACATCTACTAGTACTATAACCCTTCAATATATATCCACGTCACCTACAAACCCATCACTGCACCACGTCAGATACAAATGAATGTCAAAGACATGGATGAACTGAAGAACAATATAAAGGGAGTGGTTTATAAGAACAAGTGCTTTGACTCCCAAGCCTCCTAGACCAGAGAAACGGGTAGAAACCTCAGAACAAGACTGAATGAGCACAAGCAAGCCACTATTGAAAAGGTGACCCAACAATCACATTACTGAACCTACAGCGCATTAGCTATTTTCCACAACTGACTCTGGAAAGCTGGTTTACAGAACCTAGAATAGACTCCCTTCCACAGGTGTCAACTACTACCTGCACCATACAAAAAACTCATCCATCACAATTTCACAAGAAACAAACCAAAGAGAGCAACTTAATATTACTGATGGATCACAACCAACACTCTCAACTTGAGTCTAATAGAAAATAACAATGTGGCTAAACTGACCAACCAGTCTACACGTACAAAACAGTGTAACCGCTGAATCGATCGGTAAATTTTAGAGTCTTTAATCCAGGTTCATCGAAATAAACAGCATACAAATATGATTCTGAAAGTAGAATTGAACAATCGAAACTTGCAAACGCAAAGCAGAATAAAGCAAAATGAAAGTATACAAAGCTCAAATAAATCAAAATGTTGAACACTTACAAACAATCTGAGGGTTCCTTCTCAAAATAATTGAAAAACCTTCGTGGAAATCAATAGGATGAAAACCATTCACATTCACAATCTTCAGAACAAAATCATCCTACACATGGCCGAACAAGATCACTCGCTCGGCCTGGTAACAACTAAGAGTTGCATCATGTTAAAATCATGAAATGTCCGTTTGCAACCTACAAACAGAATTAATTATCAGACTTGACTGACAACAACTCTTCACTTGACTCTGTTGATGACTTCTTCCTAGCTTGACTTGAAATGTCAGTCATTACTACAGCATGACAACAGCATTTCTCAGGGCTCCTAAGTAAAACAGTCTTTTAAGCCTCATTTTTGAGTGAGAATTTTTTATTGGAGGCTGCAAGCAATACTCAATTAAATTGATGAAAATTTTGCTTGTCAAAGATAGAAGGTCTTTATCTAGAGTGTAAGTACATTTTTAACAATGAATGGTAACAATCTCTCAGTTCCACCTAAAAAAAAAATTTGCTAAACGTTCAGTAAATTTTGATGAAAACTCAACAGGTTACTGTAGTTTGACCAAGAGTATCCAATTTTTTTTTTTCTTTTTCCACAAATGTGGTTGCATCTGTTTCTATTAAATTAAATACATTGGATCACACATTCATTGCACAATTATTTCAGGGCACAAAGGTCATCCCCGTCATGTTTGTTTATCCTACTGTTTTACAATTAATTAAGTGTTGAGATTTACTCAGTGCAAAGTCATTGAATAAAAATCATCTCTCTTCGATGAGAAGCAATCCCACTGGTCAAATGATTTTTGTCACTGGTGAAACATATCAGACCAATGAGAAGCCTTAGTGATACCATTTTTTCACAAGTGTGAAAGATTGATTCAGTTTTCCCACCTTTTGGGGCAGCTTTGCAAAGTAATTGAGAGTGAATATTGCAACCTTCCCTATACTTGCCTGGAATCATAGCTTCAAGGATTGCAGACATCAATTCAGTGGAACAATTTATCAAGGACAAAGGTTTTTATGCAGAACATAATTATTATTTTTCACCTTAACTTGTCCTCCTTCCTTGTAGTCTCTCCAAGTTGTCCCATCTGTAGATAATTGTAGTCTGTAGGTCGTCACCCACTGATCTACTCGAGAATTCCCCTGAGTAGACACAGCACAGATGATATGAAGTGTCTGTAGATCAATTTGTAGATGGGGCTTACTGTCACTTGTTCTTGCACACCATGATGATCCAGATGTGTAGTTCAGGCGGCCATTTTTGGCTGATGTGCTGGCGCTTTGTTCAGAAGAAGCAGTTACTGTATTGTTTGGAATTGTTCCATCTTCCATACCAAGATTAAACTCATCACAACCTCCTATAAATTACAAGGGTTTAAACATTACAAAGTTAATGACCATGAAACAAAATCATTCATGTAGGCTTGAAAGGTGTACATGCAAGGGTATAATTACATGTAAGCACTTATCCATTCATTTTGGCTCTCTCAGACCTACATGTAGTCTTACAGTCAGTTAAGAAAGACTGAGCCTAGCCTGTTATGGGAGCTCATGGCTATTTTCCCGGGATTTGACAGCTATGGGAGTCATATTTTCATCTTAGGCCTCACTTGACACAGTGGTAGCCCTTAGATATCCATGCCACTTGTCATCTGTTGTCTTAAGCAAAGCAGTCACTCAACTCAGCACTTAAATAAGTAGTAAGATGAGCATTATTCATTCACCATACAGAGGTGATATACAGCTTTTACAATATCCATTTTGGTTATTTTCCATTTTCCTCAAGTTCCTGAGATGTTAAAAGAGGGATAATACCTGTACAAAAGCAGAGTGTTATAACTTTTCACTGTCTAAAAAACCTTTACATGTTTTTGATCTGTTGGCCAAACATGGATAACTATAATACAAAGCCTTGGATAGTAGCAACTCGCAAGAACCACATAGGTTACTGCAAATTAATGTAAAAGTGAAAAAGTTGAAATTATATATACAATAAGTACAAATTTAAAGTTCTGTTAGAATAATTATGCTTGAAATTCTCATTAACAGTCAGCTCATAAGTCTTTTATTTTGATGTTGTTGTTGTATGTTGTTGAGAATTCTTACCATATTTCCTGGTTCTCACCACCACAACAGGACTCTTTGGTCCATCACCAACAGAAGTAAAGGCCAACACTTCAAATTCATATTCTGTGTTGTTGTCAAGCCCAATGACATCTTTACTAAATGCCGTTCCATTGTTGATGGGCAAGGTTTCTGATCNTGAGTAGACACAGCACAGATGATATGAAGTGTCTGTAGATCAATCTGCAGATATGGGTTGGTGTCAGTTGTTCTTGCACACCATGATGATCCTGATGTGTAGTTCAGTCGACCATTCTTGGCTGGTGTGGTGGCATTTTGTACAGAAGAAGCAGTTATATCACTGTTTGGAATTGTTCCCCTTCCCATTCCAAGATCTAAATCAACACAAGCTCCTGTAGAAACAAAATTACATTTGCATTATATCATATTCCTGATATTGCAAGAAATAGACAACTTTTTTGAGAGAAATGTTTCGGCATGCTTATGCCATCTTCAATCAATGAGTAACAGAACAAGAGTAATTATATAACAGACAAGTAATTACTCATTCATTGATCTGTTACTCATTCATTGAAGATGGCATTAGAATGCCAAAACATGTCTCTCAACAAAGTTGTCTATTTCTTACAATATTTATCATACTTGCTACTACTACGACCTTATGGAAATATTCCTGATAGTTATTGCAAAAGGGATAATGGGTTGACTGTGGGAGGCAATTATATGTGTCTGTATCAGTTACCTCTACTATAATGTCCATTAACATAACATAACATGACGTTTACTCAGGAAGCTTAACAACGCAAATATAAAAGATACTTCCTGAAAAGGGAAAATCGTGACGTTAGCCCTTTATAAAAACAATTTCCCTGACTTAAAAAAAAAATAGTAGTTAAAATTAGAGGTAGTCTGCTTCTAAAATGATTTACCAATTCTATTACAAATTAAAAAAAAATGTCAGTCCTTATTAAGCTTTACACCCTAACATCAGTATGGAAGTTTTGCACACTCTGCTCTTATGAATTCCTGTGAATTTTTCTAAGAATCCAGATCTTTGTTAAGTCTGCTATCATTTCCTTTATTCTGATGACCTTATAGTGTTTGATTCATTAGTGACACTGATGGGAGATCCCACATGCTTAAAAGCATTCAAAGGGGTAACATGGTTCTGAAAAATCCAATCTGCAGCATTGAAATACTTTGAATATAATTATCATTTCTGAAGGTGTCCATTTTTAAAGAAAGCAAGGAAAGATTTTAGTTCCTAGAGAAACTATCGTGGTGCACTGGGTAGATAGACTGCCTCTTTAAATCTGAGAAAAGTGGTTTTGAAACTGGCTTTCTTAGAGCAAAGAGAAGTTCTCTTTTAGTGTAAAATAATTATGTAGTTTCTGAGGTGCAAGGATGGGATGTCTGGGCTGATCCAACAGAATAGCTGAGTTAGCAGATCTATGCTGGAAGAGGCATAATCTATAATAAATTGATCCATACCTTGTTATGCGTACAGTTCTTTAATGAAAGAAACATTGGCAAAAACAAAATTAATGACTATCATTGGAACTATAAAAGCTTAATGTTTAATGCTGGTTATAACAAGAAGAATAATTTACAAGTGTTGAAATTGATCGAAGCACGTCTCTACCTCATTAGATTGTCTATAGCTTCATTGATATAAATGCAGAGGGATTTTCAACTGTACCGTTCCTTTCAAGGTGACATTTGAATAAAAAAAAAATTAAAATCTCGAAGGACCCTATATTGATGCTGTCCGTAATGAGGATTAAGAAGCGACCGTGCGAGAAAGCCTTAGGCCACAGCACTCAAAAGTGCAAGAAATCTCCAGCCAAGCACCCTGAACGTAAACATTACACTGAAAAAAGATATTTATAATAGAATTCAAATGAAATAGTGCTCACCTAAAGTCAGAGGAAGAAGTACAGCGAGAAAAGCTACCCGGAAACAAAGCTCGAGACTAAATTGCGCCATGAATCGATTGAGTGTGTCACGGTGTGCGATCACTATTGTTTTGATTAACCGGCTGTTTGTAACAAAACGCCCATTAGACAAAAAATATCTTTGATCTTCACTACTCAAGCTCGTCTTTGTTTAGTTTGTAACAATATCGTCCGCAGTTCGTGCAAAACAATCACACTCTGCGTGGGCCTTGCTTTAAGTCCCGTAACAAGATGACAGGCGCAAGAATTTGTTCATACTTCCCAGAGTGCTATGCACTGTACAAAAATTGTGATAATTTTTCTGTTTCACATACCAGCTTCCTTTGTTCTCTCCACCTCAACTGGGCTCTTTGGTCCATTACCATCAGAAGTATAAGCCAAGACTTGAAATTCATATTCTGTGTATTCATCAAGCCCAGTGACATTCCTACTTAATGTTGATCCATCCATTATATTCAGCTTTGTTGCTGGCACAGCAGAAATTTTCTTTTTGTAGAACAGTATAAAACCAGTTATGGTCCTTCCATGTCTGGCAAGGACTGGTGGTGACTGCCAGGAAGCCATAATGCTGGTAGAAGAGCTTGCAGTCAACTTGAAATCAGTAGGAGGTTGTGATGGAACTAAAATAAATATAGCCAGATGTGTGCTTTACTCTCAAGTTGATTTTTAATGTGAAGTTAAGAAAGGAACAAAGACTGAACCATCAATGCGAACTTCTAAGATAACAAGATATTAACATCAGAGCAATGACTCAGGGATCATCAGAGTAGGGATGTTCTACACAATTAAAGATAGGCATTTTGTTGGCTGAATTCAACATTATTATAAATTATATTATCCGACGAAGGGCTAACGCTCGAAATGTCAGCTTTTTTAATCGGTTAGAGTGGCCGATTTACCATTTCAACTTTGTTGACATATCCAAATTATTTCGTTACCCCCACTGACGCAGCCCCAAACAGTTTCTTTAGAAACTATCAGCCTTTATTCATAAATTATATTACACCAACACATAATTTGTATCATATACCTGGTATAAATCATGATCTCAATTTTATTCAATTACACAAAAAGTGAACTGGCAGTATCTCAGAGGAGGAAATGTGACATTTCATGTATATAAAGCTGTATGTGGTCATAGTCAAATTCTCCGATGAGCAGCTCTAAAATAACACTAAAACAAAGACTCATCCAACCAAGGCACACTCATAACTTAATTAAGAGTATTTAACTCTGATCTAGCTCAATAATCATTTACCCATGCATCCTTTCCTTGTTCAGATAATTGGTCATTGTGATCTCATTTTTGCCTCAAAAGGAGACAAAAATAAGAGAAAAAAAAAACCCTTCAATTGGAACTATTCCTGACCATAAACTTTTACTCTCAGAACCTTCCAGAGTGTGGAATTTGTTAGTATAAAGCGGATAAACCTTACTCTAGCAGATTCTGGCAAATAGATAAGTTTGTCTCAGGGGGAGCTGAATTACCAACACAAGTAAAGCAAGTAAATACCTTTAGTTAGAATTATTCCATAAACTTCCACTCTCAGACCTTTAAAGGAATGATATGTTGTTGGCTGAAAGCGGATAAACTTTGCAATGGCAACTTCCTGAAGACTGTTTTTTACAATGCCATTTTGATTGGAGTTTCCAGGGAAGACCTGTGGTTTGCGGTGCAAAATTTGAAATAATTTCATCACTTTTTTTTTCTAATATACTGTATCATTAACAACTTTAAGTATCAGCCATTCCATAAACAGAGACTTTGAGCTTTAAAACTGATGGAATATGATTGAAACATGAACCATGGAGATTTGTTTAAGTAAATGCCTCTAATGGCTGTAATGATATTGAAAGACTCATTCCTTCCACTTGTTAAAAAAAGAAGTACAAAATCAGTATGTGATCATGTATTCTTTAGAACTTCAAATGTCATTTTTGGTGATACTTGAGGGAGAGGTAAATTAATGTAATTTGTGAGAGATTCTAAGAGGCATTGGTCTGAAAAAACACCAAAACAATACAGATATTTTAGAAGGGACTTGCAGATTCCACAGAAATCAAATAATATACTCCCTCAAGTGTAAAAAAGTGATTAATGCAATGTTCTGAATAATAACAGTGAAAAGGTAGATGAAAGAAAATATTGAAATGATTAATCAGACACAGTTTGAACAACCAATTAAGGGTTTCAACTATATAATCTAAGAATTAACTGAACGAAAGCTACATTTTGCATTAATATTCACAGCCCTACGTGCAGTTACTGTATATTTGTCCATGATGTTTCCATAAATGTTAGAAGGAAATCACATTAACTATCATAAAATTATTTTCCTATTACACAGACACTTAATAGCTCTTTTGTTAAACCTTTTAATCTTTTCAATGAGCACACAAAGATTACTGCTAGTATTTCTGTGTGGGTAATATGAGTTACTGTAGTTGATATTTCCTCTGTATTCTTTTGAACATTTCCTGATTTATTAAGATAAAACACAGTCACATTAGTGTGAAGCTATTGACCACTTTCATAAATGGCTGCCGGATTGATATTCTTTTGTTTAAATTAAAATTACCCTTTCTGGCCTCGTTCTCCAGTTCAAAATTCAAAAGAATGCATTATCTCAAGCGAGGCTTGTGAGGCTAATTTGAATTTAAACAAAAGAATATCAATCCGGCAGCCATTTATGAAAGTGGTGTATGGCAGAACGGTTACAAAAGAATGCATTATCTCAAGCGAGGCTTGTGAGGCTAATTTGAATTTAAACAAAAGAATATGAATCCGGCAGCCATTTATGAAAGTGGTGTATGAGGTAATGGTTATAGTAATAAAGTCCACATGATGAAAACTTAATAACAAATATACAGGATACTGAGAGCAAACTGTAGAAATTGCAATGAAGTAAGCACACAGGTTTGTGTTTTTGCTGGAATGAACAATTATGGGTGTTCTAGAAACAGTTTGTAATTCACTTAAAAGATAACTGAGGCTGAGTCTTGACCAAGCTAGTTGACACATCTTCCGTTTCCCTCCTCTTAACTTAAAAAAATTGAATCGGTGTGTTGTAGGAGCTACTTTTGGCTTTTTTAATATGTACATAAACATGACCATCATTCATGTATACAGTCCAAAGCCACTTGAACAGCAATCTTGAGAAAACCTGAATTACCAATTTCTTGTAATGATTAAAAATTTGTTGTAATAGTGTAAAACAAGGATTAGAAATGGGTCAAGAAAATGGCTAGTCTGCTATGATGGAAAGGTGGCCACTTTAGGAAAGAAATGACTCGAGAAAGCAAATTAATTTTCTTCTCTAGGTATAGGCAAGCATGATGTTACAGTTCTGCAAAAACTGACTGTAAGTGAACTATTTGTCTAACTTAAAATAACTTTGAAGTTCATATAAACCAACCTTGTCAGCATTGTTTTCATGATAGGTGACAAACTTTGAACTATTGAGGGATAATTGAAACTTGTACGTTGTTGTCCACTCCCCAGTCCTTGGATTTCCCTGTGTAGCTACAGCACAGATGACGTACTCAAACAGCAGGTCAATTTGAAGGTAATCATTACCATTATTGTTCCCGTCAGGTGCCCATGACTTTGTATTATTTAGGCGACCATATTTAGCTGCATAATTTACTGAATGAAATTCTGACGAGGCTGAGAAGCTGCTGTCTGGAATAGTGTCACTCTTGGCTACACCAATGGCCTGCATAGAACATCCTGTAAGGATAATAATATAAAATCAACCCTAGCCTACCTAGATAATAAAATGTAGAAAAAACAGAAAACAGAAAATGCTTAGAATGGCTACTTGTACCCCTGTAATGCATCTTGGTTGAGTGCTGCCCTTCAATGTGCATTTCACTTTGCAAAAATTACAATTGAACTTCAAACAAAAAATAACCGGATTTTATTAAAGTTCAGAATGAAGTTTCTTGTGGTGGATTTTTAAACAATTCAACACTGAGCATCATAAGAATAACAGGTTATCACAAGTGCCTGGATTTCTTTGATGAGTGCATAAAAGTCAAGTATCTACCATTTAATTTGAGCCAATTAAAGTACAGTATAGTACTAGTATAGGTATTAACATGATTTTGATCGAGTCCAATTCAGTGTTACTATGAGCATGAGCAGATTTTTTAAACTATCTGCAAACAAAATTGCACTGGCTAGTGTGTGGCAAGAGGAATTCTGTAGTCTTTCAAAAAAATTACAAGCTTATTATTAACAGAAATTAACACAAAATCATGACATATTATACTTATTAATTATTTACACAAAAAAAAGGCATTATAGTAAGTGAAGACAAACAAAATTTTGTAGGGACAGTGCATATGAGTGCTATTTGTAATACACACTCAGTTACAACTTTGCACTTCTAGTCTGTTACAACTTTGCACTTAATTAACTTGAAAAAATGCACTTAATCATTTTCAGCCAATCAGAGGCACATGCATACCAGCTATTATCCAAATAACAAGCAAAAGAGGCACACCAAATCAAAATATATAACAGACAGTAGGTTTGACAAATTTGTTTAAAGAATAATCTTAAACTACCCTATACAATACTAATTAATAATAATATGATAACAGTGCTTGAAATTAGTGGTCGTCCGGTTGTCCGAGATGACCAAAAAGTTTACTGGCCTGGGTAACCAATTTTTAGTAAAATTAAGAGGCTGGTTGTGCGGGGAAAAAAACAACGGACAACCCAGCCAAAAATAGAAAATAAATTAACCATAAACAGCACCTGACCTACATGAAGATTTTCTTTTGTTAATGTGCGGTAGTGTGAAGTTAATAATAATTTGCCTCAACTAAGCGTTTTCCTGTGTTTTGGATATCTGTAAATTTTATAAAACGTTGCCAGGTAGGAAAATGTAAGGGACAAACACAAAGTTTCTTACGTATGATGCACGATCCTCCCAGTAGATAGCGCTCTATATGCAATAGCGAAAATCAGACCTGAAAAAAATCAGGCCTGTACGGGACTCGAACCACTGACCTCTGCGATACTATTGCAGCACTCTACCAATTGAGCTAACAAGCCAACTGGGAGCAGGCCGTTAAGTTGATTCGTAATAAACCCGTGAAAGTGATAAATGAGATACAATGAATATATGAAGATCATATATTTTGAACTGCGGTATTAGATACGTATGATGCACGATCCTCGCAGTAGATAGCGCTATTTAAGCAATAGCGAAAATCAGACCTGAAAAAAATCAGGCCTGTACGGGACTCGAACCACTGACCTCTGCGATACTAGTGCAGCGCTCTACCAATTGAGCTAACAAGCCAACTGGGAGCAGGCCGTTAAGTTGATTCGTAATAAACCCGTGAAAGTGATAAATGAGATACAATGAATATATGAAGATCATATATTTTGAACTGCGGTATTAGATACGTATGATGCACGATCCTCGCAGTAGATATATGATCTTCATATATTCATGGTATCTCATTTATCACTTTCACGGAATTATTACGAATCAACCTAACGGCCTGCTCCCAGTTGGCTTGTTAGCTCAATTGGTAGAGCGCTGCACTAGTATCGCAGAGGTCAGTGGTTCGAGTCCCGTACAGGCCTGATTTTTTTCAGGTCTGATTTTCGCTATTGCTTAAATAGCGCTATCTACTGCGAGGATCGTGCATCATACGTATCTAATACCGCAGTTCAAAATATATGATCTTCATATATTCATTGTATCTCATTTATCACTTTCACGGGTTTATTACGAATCAACTTAACGGCCTGCTCCCAGTTGGCTTGTTAGCTCAATTGGTAGAGCGCTGCCCCAGTA